GAGTAGCCTATTGCATGAGTAGCCATGGAGGTCTGGTCTGTTCATCCTTTCAAAGGATGGGTGCAGCTTTCCCAGCGGCCAGAATGTTAACGCCCATTGCGACATTTTAAAACCTGCCTTCAGAGCCAATTCTTCTTCATCCAGTTGTCAAAACAATGAGGATGTTGACCTACTTCTACTTCCAGGCCATACTACCTACGTTTTCTCTTATACTTGGCTACAAGCTCAATAGATGGTTTTACAAAGTGTTTACCTTCCTGTTTAAAAAATTTTTTCCTACTGTAAGTCTTAAAATGGGTTATGATTCAACTGCCTTCAATTAGTTTCTTCCCTAACCCCCAGTAAAATGTATGAACCCATATGAATAAATATAAGGGCAAAAGTCTGGTCCAAAACTTGCTTGGACATCTTGTTATTAGCAAATAAGACAAGGCATGTTTTCTCTCAATTTATTTGATATGTGACCTTCAAAAGGACTTGGTATAATTTAATTCAAAGTTGTGCTGTCTGCATGTTCAGCGCCTCATTTTGCCCATGTAACCGTGAGAAGAGAAAACAATGAAGCCAACCCTTTCAGTTCCCAGGGAGAAGGAAGGTTGGCAGGCTTCCTCTTGCTCTGCTGTTAAATATCTCTATTTAAATGCAAATTATCATCTGACACTTAAAAAATCATATAACAGGAAACAGGTAGACATGTTAAAGACCTTTAAAAATAACCAAGGTCCCAAGTTGTGTTTACTCCCAGGAGAGGAGGAACAGTGTAGCAGAATGTTTGCTTTAATACTAAGCATTCTATTAATACAATGGAGGATAATTTAATCTGGTACGACAGTTTCAAGGCTCTGAACTAGGGATGAGGAAACCAGAGACTGCTGTGAAGAGTCTTTGGTTTTCCCATGGTGCTCATTTCACCTTGGTGCCATTTTCTTTTGCAACCTGATTTTCTTTTCAATCACATGTATTTTTTCAAGAAGTGTACTCTATTCACCATTGAAAACAACACAGAAGTGTGTCCTTTTAAAGATGCATTTTTCAGTGTGCTTGCTTGCTTGCTTGCTTGTTTGACATTAAAGTGACTGCAGTTTTAGAATTTGTGAATTTTTCCATCCATGTTCAGGGTTGCAAATTGGATAACTTCTAATGATTTATGAACTGAAATAATTCTTGTACATCCATTATTAGAGGATGAGCGAATTAGGCATCAGCCATGGTGATTTTTGGAGCACTACCAAGCTCCTTCACCTAATGGTATTCTTTGGGTCACTTCCCTATTTCTTTGTATAAGGCTATGTTGTTGATTTTATATGGGGCCCTTAGGAGGCCATAGATAAGGAATGAGGGATTCCCTGAAAGCATTTGCATTTACAACTCTCCAGTAGCCTGGGTATCAACAATTTCTCTTAACTGTTGTTCTGAGAATTTTGTGTACCTGTTCATGCTGTGGTAAATAAAAATCAAGTACCCATTCTGCTATGTGTATAAGCCACAGCACACAACAGTTTTAAAATATGTAACACACACACTTCTGCTATTCGGCTATGTGGCTATACTCATAGTGCTCATTTTTGTGTATCACTGGACAGTAAAAAGTAACATGCTCCGTTGCCAAGTGTCTTCTACCAATTGAAATGGCATCAGAGTAATCTTGCTACCCAGTGTGCAGCCATTTGAATGTATTTTTTCCACTCACCTAGTTGAGAGGCAAATAGAAAGCAGTAACAATTGTTCAAACACATAAGGAAAACCTATTGTTATGTCACACATTACACATATAATGGGCCAGGTGCCAAGGTGACATCATACTCCAGCAAGCTTTATTTCAGATGACACAGACTCACAGGCGTCCCGAACACATCTTCTATCCAGTTCATTTTCTGTCTGAAAAAACATCAATCTCTGAATGCACAAATGACTTGCATAAGCTAGTGGAGCTTCTGTGTAGTGGTGGTGTAAAGTTTTCCCAGAAATGCAACCCCCTGAAACTAGAAAAACATCTTGATGTCTTTCCAGGTGTGAATTCACATTCACATCTCATTGAAAGCTATGAACACATGTACATTTGGATGCCTGATGTGATACCCACTTGCAGTTCCTAGAAGCAAGGATATCTGAAGCACTGCTACCGTTTCTATTGATACCCAGATGTGCATTTGAGCATCAGAGAAATCCATAGAAATAGTGCACACCTTTCCACAACTCTGACCAAGAGTTCTTTAAGTCCCTTATTTGGACAAGTGAAATATTACAAAAGTATCCAACTTTAGCAGGCCTTCTGATGTCAGTTTTTTTAGAACAACCTTAACTCAATCTGTTATGTTGGTACCCCATTCATCAACACCAACTCCATCCGGTGCTTAGGAACCAGCCATTTTCCTTTCTCTGCCTTTGTACATCCACAGCCTTAAAGAGGCTTTGCTGCTAAAGGGGCACAAAAGAGTAAGCTGCAGCTACTGCACAATAGCGAGGAGTGCCTGGACACCTGTGGATCCCCTGCAGTGGTGTAACCATAAGCCCACAGTTGAAAAATCATGGCTATTTTACTGCAAGGAGGAGAGGACATGCTTAACTCTCTAACACTGGAATTGCTTGAAATGAAAGTGTGCCTGACTTTAGCTTTATTGCATCCTCTATGTGCATCTGGATAGATGATTATGTTCTTAAGTAGAGGGGAACCTGTAATTTTCCTTCAATGTCCTTGAAATATCAGCTGTGTAAAGATGCTGTAATTATTTGACAGCATAATCCTATGTGTGCCTACTCAGAAATAAGTCCTACTGAGTTCAGTGGGATGAATTCCCAGGTAAAAATTGACACTCTGTTATTTGGTCAGAAATCTTAGACTGTTAATCCTAAATGTCTTCAGATTTTTAAAAATCATTTTGGTTGGCACTACTGCATTTCCATAGCAGGGTGAACCACATATGACAATCTGTGTATAGGAGCTAGAATATACTTGTCTGATTCAAAACTGGTCTTTATCAAAAGCTTCCCATAAGTCCTTGGAGCTTCTTCTGTTTCCCTAGCCCTCCCTCCTTCATTTCTAATCTCCTATCCTCTGAGGCAGTCTGGCATTATTAGCTTTCTGCATAGTGCTTCAGTAGATTAAAAAGAAGAAGAATTGTCATCATTATGGGTTAAAGTAGTATTATTTGTGCCAAACGGAGTCCCCTGCCTGTCAGCCAGAATGCGCTAGCGTGACATAGCTGTAATGCAAGGTCTGGTTCCAATAAATGATGCCAGACAGTGACAGGAAATTATATGCTTATATCAGCAACTATGTTTCCCAGGCATAATTGCCTTAAATGAACTTTGTTGCATCACGGAGCTGATGCTTTTAATGAGATGGTTGGCATACATGTGCAATTGCTGTACAACAACATAATCAGTAGGTTCTATCAACATGGTGTAAGTGTCAGGAAGTGGTGAAATTTGGCTTGAGAACGTGGTTTCTAGTGACCTGCTGGTGTTAGGCATATTTAACAGTATGTCATCTTCTGCATTCTCAAACCAAATCATGCCTAATATCCAGGCTTCTTAGTAGAGGAGTTTTTGCTGGGATGTGGGCATGAGATGGCATTTGTCATCTTGTTCAATGACCTGCGCTAGGATATCCATGGCAGGAGGAGTGCAGTTCTATTTATTTATTTAACTATTTATTAAGTTGATGTATGCCCCACCTTTCTGTCAAAGTGGCACTCAAGGCAGCTGGTAGAGATTTCAAAAGATTTCTACTAAAGCATAAAAACAGGTTCACACTACCGTTCCCTCCCAGAAATTGCCAGGGAGCCATCCTGGAGGCGGTAAGGATCACTGTCCCTTGAAATGTAATGTTTCAGTCTCTCAGAGAAATCTGTGTACCCTGATAGGAAGGTATGAGGAAGCTGCTACTGGAATCTTCGGGTCATTTCCCCTAATCCAGACCCAGAAACAGGTGCAGACCCAGGTGTTTTGTGTCTCAACATTCATGTATTTCAGGACTTGTGATGCCTTCCATGGAACAGAGGAAAATGCATGTGATTAAATGGGCACATTTATAACATGTGCAATGAAAAGTGCACAGATTTCAAAAATGTCTTTAAACATGCTTTATTTTGTAGGTGGATTTACACACAAAAAGAGTGTCCATTTGGGGAAATGTGTGTGAATATGAAAAGGGTTTTTGAAAACATTTTCAAAAATGTGCAAGCATCCTAATATATATTTTCCATTAAAAACCCGTATCTACATGGAAATAGGGTGGAATGAACTTGGAGGTGGGAAAAAGATGAAATCTGAGGAATAAAACTGGACAGACCTGTCTATCCCTAAATTTCCATATAGGAATTAGTTGATTAGGGGAATACTTATTTTATAAGTTGGGCAAAGGAAGCTCACAGCACTTCTTTCCCTGCCAGTGTTGAGGCCAGAAGAAACATTTAACATGGAGCTGACATAAAATGGCGATTCACCCATTCATGTCGAGGCTTTCCAACTAGATGAAAAGAGGCTTTAATCAAGAATGAGAAATGGTGATTCCCAGTGATGCTTATGGTGCATTGTTATAACAAACAAAAATTAAGGAGCTTGTGCCCAAAGAATCAAAGCAATGTTGCATTAACTGGTAATACGAGTCTGTCAGTTTTGTTAAGAAAATCTTTAAAGAATTTATTCTATAAGTCATCTTTTATCAACTTGTAAAAAGTCCTGCCCCTACATCCCTCTCCTTATTGTAGCTCAGTGTGCTCATAGGAAATATGAAGTCAGAAGTGAGCTAGCAAAGTGCTGCAATTGGGATGGAAAGCTCCACCATAAATTATTGCCAGCTCATATATGTTTGAAACATTGCGTAAGATTTCTAAGGAGCCCTTTTATTGCCAGTCGTTCAATTGTGGTAAAGCATGAAATTCTCATAAAACTGCAGTGGTGCCCTCCCTTAAGGATTCATTCCAGGACCAGGCTTAAAGGCACTGAAAAGGCAGCCTCTGAATTGTCTTTCTGTCTTGTCTCTCCTCTCCCTGAAGGTGGATCATGTCACAAGTCCTGTGGAAACCGATGCTGGGGACCTTCAGCAGATCAGTGCCAGACCTGTAAGTACATCTGAGTAAGAAAAGAAGGCTAGAAAGTGAGAAGTGGTGGAATTTAATGCATGCAGAGGGCCTGTTAACAGCCCTCTCCCTAGCAGTCACCAGTGGGAATATTCCTCTTGTGAACAGAAAATCCTTGCGCAGCCAAATGATATGGAGGAAAATGCTAGAACCTTGAGACAGGGAAATGTGCTGTGCCACAGGTCCAGCCCGACGGGGACTCACCCTGCTGAATTTCCCACTATCTTAAAAGATGCCTGAATGGGAGCTTTTCTACTGGAAGTGGCAGGCCACTTTCAGAAAGAGGATGTGATGCAGGGGTGGGGGGCAGCTCTAGCTTCTGATCGCTGTGAATGGTTTTACCAGGGCTCCTCCATCCCAGTACTTTAGAGCAGGGATGCTGAAGTAATATATTGTGAGACGGCCCAGTGCTCATTGATCTTTGCTAGTTCTCTCTCTCCTGAGAGGTTTGGCAGAGACTGTGAGGTGCTGGCTATAGTACTGGGTGCTTGGAAAAGTCTAGACATTCAAGTCCTTCTGTCTCTGCTCACTATCTATGATCTGCCCCTGTCCTTCATCACATGATATGCTTTTGGTGCCAATTAAGCAGAAGGCCATGAGAGAGAGAGAGAATTCTGCCTCAACCTGTGATTTATTCCTTATAACTCTCTAGCCCTGCACCTGACCTTCTGAGATTTCACAGATTTCTTGCCTTCAAACATCTGTACAATATTCTGTATTTTAAAGATGGAGGTAGAAGAAGGAAATTAGACCCCATCTTCCAAAAAAACACATTTCTGAGGACATTGACTAAAAGTGCCCTTCCTTCCTTCCTTCCTTCCTTCCTTCCTTCCTTCCTTCCTTCCTTCTAGGCCTCTTGCCTAGGGCTATCTCTATGCTATGTGTCTTTTTATGCCCACAGAAAGACAAACACTCTTCCCCAAATAAACAAACAATCCAAGAGTATACATTAATCTCCCCGCTCTGCCCTTTCTTTTAAATCTCTGAAATATAAAGACCGCACTAACACAAAACTTCTGCACCTATTCATTCAGTTCTGGCCAGAATTAATAATTTATTGGCAGTTTCCTTAAAAATGGAGTGGTGTAGCAAAAATGCTTTGGAACTTACTTATCTGAAATAAATATGGCAGGAAACATCCCCTCATAGGAGGCTTCTGTTCCTGCAAAGCTTATTGGCTTCTGTCAAATAGAAACAAGTGTTAAACCTATTTGTTGATATCCACAGGAGACACAAAGCTTTGAACTTCCAACTCAGAGCTGGCATGCAGCCCCCTGAGTCAAACTGGGCTGCCTTCGAGTCAGTCCTCAGTGAATTAGGCTGCTTTTCAAATTGCCAAAGAGGGCCACATCAAGCCCTGTGGTCGGCTTCCACCTGAAAGAAAAAGGAGAGCCTCACCGCACCTTGTCAATAAGCTGGTGGTGGCAGAGAATTCTCTAGAGCAGGGCAGTCCAGCTTTTTGTACCTCAACACAGAAACTGGGGGCTGCACAATGAATTATATTTCCATATCCTAAATTGAAGTGTTTGCAATATGTGTATATTATTTAATATACCCAATTAATATATTTAATTAACCAATGAACAAGGGAGAAAATTGATATGAGGTCTCAGAGCTGGCTTGAGAACACTTGGTGGACCTGCCATTTCCCCAGCATGCCTCGCCCATTCCTGCTGATGAGGGCTGAGGTGCTTGGCTTCTGGGCGGCTTTGCGCCCATCTGCTGGAGTGGCACTGGGCCACGAGCCCAGCTGGGGGGGGGTTTCAGGCTGGAAGCCCTGCACCCTGCCAGCTGACAAGCCCAAGGGCACTCTGGAGCTGGCAGGGCATGCTGGGGTGAGTCCATTGGGCTGGTGGCTCCATGCTGCTCATCAGCAGGAGTGGGGAGAGCATGCTGGCACAAGCTCTCACGAGGCCACTAGCCTGTCCCACTGCCTCGTCACAGTCACCCTCGTGCCATTGATGGGATCTGGACTGGGGGGAGCAGGGGCTCCAGGTGGCAAGAGGGCTGCAGAACCAGGCCTCGGGGGCCTCACGCGGCCTGCAGGAGAGAAGCCTGGACCTAGTGGGCTAGCTGAGTGCCTTCCCCAGCAGCCTCCAGGTGCCGCAGCCTTCCAGAGAATGCTGAGGTGCATCACAGTATTGTTGAATTTCAATTCATTTTTCAGATGCATTCTTTTTAAGTCCATTGGCCATACAAGAGTTATTAAGAGCTGATTCCTATAAAATGAGTACCACATTTTATTGACATAAAACAGCAGCATTGTTTTATATCAATAGAGCATTGATATCAAAGCACTGAAGCACACCATAATGCTTCTTTTGTGTCATCAAACCCAACAAGAAAACATTGTATTCAAGTTCCAAATAATGTCAAATCATTTATGCCTTAGCTACATCCTCTAAAAAGGTACAACCTGTCAAACGATAGCAACACAAAGCATAAGTGACTAAAATCAATGTGATATATATCCAGTGGATGTATAGCGCATAGCAGGAAGATACCCCCCCCCCACCCCCAGCACTGCATACACTAGTCAGTCTTTAATCCATTCATAAGTTGTTTGGGATCTGTGTGGTGAAGGAGGAGAGAAAGGCACCCAGGTGCCCCCTCCCCTCCCCTCCCCTCCCCTCCAAGGAGTTCCATAATCCAGGAAGAACTGCTGTGAAAGCCTTCTCCCTGGCAACCATCAACATATCCACAGAAGCAGGCAGAGTGTATAGTGGGGCTCAGACAACATCCAGATGAGTTGAGCATGTTTATCTTGGAATATGGGCCACTGCATACCCCTCAGGCCCAGACTGTTCAGGCTTTAAAAGTTAAAAAATGCACCTTGAATTATGCCAGAAGACCATCTGGGATCTGCTGAACTAAATAAAGGACAGGTCTTACATGCTTCATGTGGCAGGGAATTCTCAATAATTTTACCCCTGCGTTCATGGATCAACTGTAGCCTTTGATTAGTTTTCAAGGACAACCCCATGCAGAATACTTTACATTAATCTAATCTGGAGGTCACAAAGGAATGCATGAGAGTTGCAAGGCAAGCGTTTCTCAAGAGCCATGGGTGCATGCATTTCTCCAACATATGATAACTTTCAAATTGCCATTTTGTATGGGCCATGCTGCCAGTATTTATTTCTGAGATTCCTGTGTATCAGGAGCTACAATTATTTCAGCTTGCACCCTTCCACCATCCCTCATGACCCATCATCACCTTCCAGAAGTATGTCTTATTCACATGTACATGGAAACGTTCTTTACAACATTTCATGTACTTTGTCCTTATCTCGGCAGAAATTGTTCAGCCTTTGTTTGGTCAGGAAACCTCTGAAGAAGGAGCCAAAGCTAGCTCTGATCAATGTACTCAAGAGCAAAAACCAGGCAGAAATGCACTCAAATGTATGATACAATGAATGCTGGTTTGAGGCACCCTTCATCTATCCTCCAGCTGCTCCCCTTGAAGCCTCCAATCTTCAAGTCTCTAAGCAAGGAATCAGAGTTTTTTTCAGATGTGTGCATGAAAACATCTAACACATAACCAAATGACATGTTTTGTTTCTAGAAACAAATCTCTTGAGGGCACATCTGCATATTAATGCATTTTTAATGGACTCCCTGAATAGAAAATATTCTAATAAGCCCCCTCCCATGCTACGATCCAAATTATTTTCTGGGGAGGGAGAGGGATAAAGCTGAAAGATCTTAATCCCTGTCTTTCACTCCAAATTACATGGGGAAAATAGCAGTTGGATACTTTTGTTCCGGAATGAATACTGTCCACCCAAGAGTGTTTGATGCCCTTCGTATTCTCCCTCTCAGTTTCTTTCCCCATAAATCTTTCTGGAACAACCAGCTGCATCTCTCTCTCCCCTTCCCTCTCTTTCTCTCTCATTGTCTACATACATTTGCACACTTAAGAGGGCAATTAATAAGGAATGATAAACAGTGTGTATTATGAGAAAGAGATCACTTCAGAATATGATGTTATATAATTAGGAAGCCATTATAAATTAAAATGCTAGAAAAGCAGCAGGCCACATTTAGCTGGGGAGGGCTATTTTATATTTTCTTCAAATTGCATATCTTCTATTTTGTAATATTCTATTGTCTCTCTATGATAAGCTCACAATAAAAACACAATCAAGTCAAATTTGAGGGTTTTTCATTTTAATGAGAGGAGCATTCAGTACATGTGTAACTCTCCCATTATGCCGGGTCATGCCCAAGGCACTTCACAGCAACGAAAACATTTTTTAAACATACTCCTTTAAAAATGTCCACACAGCACATGCATCATTCTAAATAAACATGCTCTTCCATCAGGTTAGGAAAGATTTTCATTTTCAGATGTTTAATTGGAAGAGTTTCAGATGTTCTGGTGAGCTTAACGAACTCCCATCTTCTCCAAGCTCCTTTATGTTGCTCCTGAGAGAATTTGTCTTCTGGAGAACAGATGTGCCTGCACACCCTCTCCCCTAGAGGCCAAACTCTTCCAGCCTTTCCTCTGCCACTTGCACCCTACTCTTCAGACTTGCATGAAATGGGAAGAACAAGCCCAATTCAGCCCAATCTGGAGGGAGCTAGTTCTTGCAAGCCCCCAGTGAGTCCATTTCACTGTGCAGAGAGTGGCATGGAACTCAGCAAAGGGAAAATGAGCAGGGCAGTTGGCATTGTGGGAGAGGAGCCCCAGCCTCTTCGTGCCATCTGACCTGCTGTCTTGGTCCTGAAGGGTAATCCAGCTCCCAGGCAAAGAGTGGTTGCCCTCTCCTCCTAGACTCCTTTCCTCTCACTGCCATGATTCTGTCATGGAGAAGGTGCTTGCTTTTGGCAGAGAGCTCAGAAGCAACTTCCAAACCTGCCACATCACTTTGTTACAGACCCCTTAGCAGCAAAAGATAGGAGTCATGGAGCCCCATAACTGCCCCACCTCCAGCAGGAAGTGATGGCCTATATGTCATTTGCAGCAGGTGGGGAGCCAT